GACTTTAAAGAGTCTATATTGATATAACGCAATAAACTAGTTTTGTTGTTAAAATAGCAAGAAAAATCTCTTAGAATAAAGAAAGAGGGATCACATCTTGAATATAAAGTGAACGAGTACCTTACCATTGAAGAAATCATTCATTCCTTTTTCTAAGAGGTCTTTCTTGCTATTTTGACAATAAAACAAAATATTAAATAAGTTTCACTCGAAAATTACTGTTTGATTATTGGCAGCCGCATGGTAATGAATTTATTCTTTAGAGAAGAATGAAATTATACGATTTTTCCATGTTCTTAAATCTTTGATATTTTTTATTAATCAATGTTATATGGAGTGTGTCATTTATTAGAGAACATCGTGTCTTACTGATGATTCTAATATCCAGTTATACGAGCTGTAGTCATTCTTCACTAGTTCTAACTGCAACATTATTCTTATTGAAAGTATCGAAAATACCCAGTTTTAATACGTTGAATAAAGCAATGCGATAGACTAATCGTATATCAAATGTATTAGACCGCTATTGATATAAACGGAATGTACACAGTCAAAAATGTCCGAAATTTGGCGTTTTAACACGTGCATAGGAAAAACGCGAAGTAACGTTTTTCCAAAAAATGTATTATTACGAGGTTGAGCTGTAAGAAAAAGGCAACCGTTAAAGCGCCAAATTCCGGACATTTTTGATAGTGTGAAACGCATCAAAAGAAAGAAAAGAACGAATTGTTGTCACGCGTTAATCTCACATTTTTGACTGCATGGGATCCTCATGCTTTCGGTTAAGCAAGAAAATTGATCATTCTTTGTTGTACACTAATAAAATGTCTTTTTGTTATTGGATTCATATCTACCAGTTTATCATGAGAAAAACCATCAACATAATGTGTTGACTTTTTTCATTTATGAAAACTAGCATGATATTGCATTAGTCATAATCAATATAAGTATAAAGAGATAATAATATTAACGTATATTTGCTTAAAAAATTATATTTTTAATATAATTTAAAATATATTATATTATACCGAATATATTCTCGGTTTATATAGAAAAAAATTTAATTCATATATTTGTTTATTGATCTATAGCATTTTGACAATTCTCTTTACATATTATCTTTCTACGTGTAAATATTATACATTTATTATACGTGATTGAACAGGTTTTGTTTAATCATTCGAAGATATAAACACAATGCTATTATGCTTTAAAAAAAGAAAACATTTTATTTACAATTATCATGAGTGTTTTTCTTTTATACATAGTTCAGATTTCTACACACATTGGTGTAAAAGTTAATGAGTTAAACATATATTATTTCTAATAAAAGAAATAAGAAAACAACAGAATAGAACATGTTTGAAATGTGATGTATTGACTTAAGATAAAGAATAAACGTGTAAAGAGTACAAGTTTATCAGTAAAATATTAGATGAAAGTTTCAAAGATGAAGTACTTGTTTTTTTGAGTCCATATTTTAATTTAAAAGAAAACAAAGAATAGTAATTCAAAATATTTAAAACAAAGGGGGCAAAGTTGTTGTTATTATGAATTTGTTTCATTGTAAAGATAATCAACAAAGATGAATAAATTTGTTGGTTACATATTAAGACATGTATACTAGAATGATAAGAAAAATTCTTTTTTTTCTCTTTGATTGTTGATATATGCAATTAAATAAATAGTGTGTGTAGATAAAAACTAAGCTTATATAAACGAAAAATCGCGTATATGTGGTAGTTCTTGTACATGATTATTTAACCTCAGTTTTTTTTGTGTTTTTTTAAGATCAAACAATGTCATCATTTTCTGTTACTCTCACATGTGCTTTTCTATTATGTTTCTGCAATTTAGTCAGTGCTAATAATCTTGGCCCTTCTATTGGAGGTGGCATTGGCGGCCTTGTAAGTCAATTAAGATTTTAAAAAAACAATAAAGAATTGTTTTTTTTCTTATGTATATATTTATTTATTAATTAGATCGTATTAATCCTTGATATTATCGCTATTGTGGATGTTCTTCGATCACCTCGTGGTATTGTTGGAAAATTACTTTGGATTTTACTTATTATACTCTTTCCTATTGGAGGTAGGATTTTTTTTAATTATCTATTTATAGTTATTCATTCAATTTTATTATGTAGGTTTAATTATATGGGTACTTTGTGGACGAAAGACAACTGCAGTCGTTTGAGAATTATACTTTTTTTCTCACTATCTAATTGAATATTTCAAAAAAGAGAATTTGCTTGTTTTTTTTTTTTTTATTATAAACTTTATACTAGCGTTTGATAGGTGTTTCTTTTTCTTCTATGATTAAAATCTGTATTTGTTTTTCTTTCGTAATATCTTGTTTATTTATCAAATCGGCAATCCATATATATATAATATGGAACATATAAAAAAAAAAGATTACAATAAGTTTTTGTGTTATTAAAGTCATAGCATGAAGAAAAAAAAAATCAAATATCAACTGTTCACATGTTTTTATTTGTTCATATCAAGACACAAAAAAAAAGAACGAACAAAAATAACAATTTTGAGCAAGAAAAAAGAAAACAAAATAAGCAATATAAATATGATGTATGAGAATACATATATATATCGTTGTTTAGAAAATATCACTTTGGTAAGCAATTAAATATTCGGGTAAAACTTGTGTATCATGAGAAGGTACAAAAACTTCTGGTGATAAAATATTATCAACTAAGGAATCATAACCAGGTGGACATGTTTTCATTGATGGATCACCACGTGTATATCGACCAACTAATACTTTACATACAAATAAATAACGTCTTGGTGATTTCGATGGTGTTTGTTGTTGTTGTAATCGAATTGGTATTGTTTGATGACTTTGAGCTAATAATGTTGCTGTTCGATTTATTTCTTTTGCTTTACAATAATAATGACAACCATGACCATAAGCTGAAACTAATAATACAAAATTTTCTAAGTCATCTTTATAATAATAATTGTTTATCTCATCTGAGTTGTTTTTAGTTTCTTTTTTTGTTCCTTGTTTTACAACTTACAAGCTGAATCATTATGTGATTCATTGAATCCATTAGCACACATATCATCAATAAGATCAACTTGTGCCAAACGATAAAGAATACGTTCAGTATCTTGAGATCGTGCAGCTAATTTTTCTTTATAAGCAACATATTGTTGAAACAAACGTGGATTTTGTATACGATGAATCTATTATAAATATATTTTAAAAAGTTTCGGAATAGTTAAAGCGAATAATGTATTTCATTTATTTTTATCACATGAAAACTGATAAAAAAAAAATTTGTGAAAGCAGACCTAAAAGGAGTGTTGAAGTATAGGAGTACAAATTTGAACTCACTCACAGGCACCTTAGCAATACTCTCACATGCATCACAGATCGTATATCAATAGCATATCTTTGTAATATATGAACTAGTTCCTTATTGAATTTCTGAAGGATTAAGAAAAAAAGATAATGAAGAAATATGTCCAAAAATAGATAGAATAAAATAATATCTCTGTGATTAGTAACAACTGCTACATTGTATTAATCCTGCAGATATTGAGCTAAGTGCTTTTCTCTCAGAATATCATGTTTGGACTTATGAAGAAACCTCTTCAACTAATTCCTTCTGATTTCAATGATTTTTTTTCGCCTATGGATACTACATAGTGTTCTAATAGAAATTCTAAAAGGCTTTGGATTCCTATTGAGATTTGATTAAGCTATTGAATTTTTCATATAGGCTCCAAGTTTTCGGAAAACTAGTATTTTCGAATTTTCATTTGAAACTTTATGCATATAGAGAAATCAACTAGATTAGCTTTCATAAAAAAATTCAAAGCTTTGAACAAAGTCTCTTTGTGATATGAGACTTTCCAAAGATAGATCGTTTTCTATGGAATGTATAGAACATGCATTTTTTTGAAATTTTCATATCTCGAAGAGACTTTTTTTATAAATCTCTGAACTTTTTAAAGGAAGCTAGTCTAATTGAGTTCTCTATATGCATAATATTTGAGATCAAAATTCGAAAATACGAGTTTTTAGAAAACCTGGGACTTCTAGAAAATAGATATATTAAAAATCTTTTAGCTTAATCAAATTGCAATAGGGACCGAAATTTTTTTAGGGGTTTGATTAGAACACTATGTAGTATGTATAGGCAAAAAAAATCATTAAAATTAGAAGGAGGCAACTAAAGAGGTTCCTTCGTTAGCACAATTTACTTAATTTCGTTTTCAAGAAATACAATACCCATATAGGAGGAGAATTTTAATGAAATTCAAAAAGTATTCTGAATAAATATTGACGTAGAGGATAACAAATAATGATATGATTAAAGTTGAAAGTCATTATTTATTTCGATCTATATTACTCCTGAGAAAATTCAAGTCTTTAAAAAAAAACAAAGCCTTTTTCTCTTCCTAAAATTTAGTTGTCATCGGTATCTCATTATTCAACTATATCTTTTGAACACATACTTCAATAATCCATGATTCAGATAACATTTCGGGTAATTGAAGTAATCTTTGAATTTCAGTATTAACTTCTAAATAAATATGAGATATTTCTTAGTATATATAATTAGTCAAGTAATAACATACTCCATTCATTTATATTATCTCGTCTGCCAAGTAATACACGATCCCATGGTTTTGTCATTGGTGTCCAATGCGTTGGAAGTTGTATAGATTGAGGATCTATTTTAAAATAAAATAAAATAAAATAAAAATTAAACAAGAAAATAGTTTTTTACTTTTGAAATCACGTCGTTCAATGTTAATAGTTATCGGTGAACTATTTAGATTTTTTCCTTGTGTAATTTCAATCATTTTATCGAAATTAAATATATGATTATATCCTAGTTGATCTTTCAAATTAATCTAAATTTATAAGAAAATATCCAAAAGAAAAAAAGAACATATTCGAACAAAAATAATAATAATATTTTTTTTTTCTTACTAATCCTTTTTGTTTTTTTGTATAACAATTTTCTAATTGTTGTTGAATTATTTTATCATACATAATAGGTTTATTTGTTGATATATCATAATATATCCATTGAATTGAATATTGTATATCATCAAGTGCTCGTCGTGCAACAATTAAACATAAATCATAAATCATTTTTTCAATTTGAATAAAATCTCCTGAAAGACCTTCTAATTCAATTGAATTATGTGTTTGATCAATTGTACATGAAACATTACATGTATTACATTCATTTTGAAATAGTTCAATCTAAATTAAAATTAAAGAAAAAAAACAATTACATACAATATCCTTCAAAATTAATCCGTACACTCAACAAATGACTCTGTTTTCTCGATATTTTAACACATGTTCAACATATTGGAATGTAGTTTTTCCGCTAAATATATAAATAATGTCCTTTGATTTGGCTTAAAATGAATCGTATACATCTCATAGAAAAAAATAGATATAAATTTCGTCATGAAAAACCGAGCATTTTATGATTTCAAGAAGAAAACATATTAAAAACTATTTTTTTTTCTATTCGAAATGACAAAACATATACGGTTTTTTTTATTGTAAAATTTATATGAACTGTACGATCAATTTTGAGTCAAATCAAAGGACATCATTTTTAGTATCTTTTCTTATCTAGTACAGTAAGCTCAAGGTATCCTGCGCTACCATTATGTCAGAGGAGCCTTTGAGTAGTTTATTAGTTTTTAATACTTGACTACATAATGCATCTAAATGTTCAATTTACTAATTTGTTGAAAAGTTTTTCATAGAATGTTATAGAAACTGGACAGATACCTGATAAGTATTCATGTACTAAGACCTAACTCAGTACATTCACTAGAGGATGATACTTAGAGCAAATAAAACGGAATCATCTCTGTTGAGTATACGATGAATTTTGAATGTCATTGTATGTATATACATCTTGTTCAGTGAATAAATTAATATCATTATTATGTATTTTTCGTGTAGAATATTTTTGTTCTTCAAATTCTTTTATTAATCTTTGTGCTGTATCTATTTTATCAGGTGATCGACCGATTATTTTCAAATTGATTAAATAATCTATAATTAAGAAAAACAAAAAGAAAACATTGGATTGTTTTTTTTTCTTGTTTCTATTAAAATTTTATCGTTACCATTTGGTCGATTATGATCAATACGTTGTTCGGCAGTGATAGTACATGTTGATGCCGCTATAATATAAAGAAAAACAAAACAAACTGATGAATTTAATTTAATTTAATTAGATTTGTTTTTCATACCAGCAATACGTTGAATTTCATTTGATCTCGAATAATATCGACTGAGTATAGGTGATTTAACAGGTAAAAGAGTAGTTAAAAGTTGACTGCGCATTTTTTGTATTCGACCTTTAACCATTTCAAATTTTTCTTGAAAACATTGAACAAGTAAAATATGACGATGATGACGATAAATAAAACGTAATTCAGCATCACGAAATATATCAAGATTTTTCATTTCTTCAAATTCATGTTTGAATAAAGAGTATATTCCATTAGGCTATAATATCAATATACAATTAACAAGTTAATCATTATGAAAAAGAAATTGTAAAAATTATATAGTAAACTAAATATTCTACGAAGTATTTCAAATGTCTGTCGTGAAATAAAAGTGTAATAACTCTTCAGTGATTCACATAAGCTTTTCATCATTTCATAGGATATTCTCGAGAATTTTCTTTCATGTAATATTATCCAGAACTATTATTTTAAATGATCAGCATCAAGTCTCTAAGGTATGAAATACTGTGTTTCGAAACATTTGTAGAAATATTAGAAAATTTACATAAAAACTCTTGATAATATATAAATAAGAATCGATGATGAGCTGACAAGAATCTCATAACAAGCTTTATGCATTTTCGAAACATATAGTTTCATGGCGTAGAGTTAATGTTAATCATTTGAAATAACAGTTATGGATAAAATCATATGAAATAAAACTTCTGAGAATGCTCTATGAAATGATGACAAGCTCTTGTAAATCACGGAAGGGTTATTAGACTTTTATTTCACGGTACAATTTTGAGAAATCTTCTAGTCGGTTTTGTTCGTTTACAACATAATCAAAGAAGAGATAGAACTATAATGCATTTTATCTATTTTCAGATTCTTTCAATCTTCAAATAACTGTACTTTTTTTAAAATTAAAAATATCAAGACTAATAATATGAAATGATCGATTATCTATTAAAAACACATTAATACATATATAGGCAGTGGAACTACAAGGCTTGAGTTAGGCTCAAACACTTTTTTTCTCTTTTTATCATATTGATAAATTTGAGCAGTACATTAAAATTCTTGTACAAATATCAATAATTTTCGCCACGTTCAGTGGCTATTAATAACGTTTTTTTTTAGCCAAACCGACTTAGAAAACATTGATTTTTGTATCCGTTAGTATTATATCATATATTGGCAATGACTTGAAGCAAAAATCCTTCATTACAAATGAAAAAGAACTGTACCGAAAATTAACTAGAATCCGTCAAAATTTTTCTTCATCGAATAAGATTACATTTCTATTAGATATTTTCAACAATGAAATATTTTTTTTTT